GACGGAGCAGCCGCAGAGGGTCCCGTGGTGCCACCCCTGCCCGCACACAGGTGCCCATGATCAGCGGGCGCGGGCTGGGGCACACCGGGGGGACGCTGGACAAAATGGAGGCCATCCCGGGGTTCTGCGTCACACAGAGCCCTGAGCAGGTGGGCAGGACTGCGGGGGGGGGGGGGGGGGGATGTGGGATGCAGAGGTGATATGGGATGCGGAGGCAATATGGGATGTGGAAGCAATATGGGATGACGAGGTGATATGGGATGCAGAAGGGATTTGGGATAGAGGCGATAGGGGATGAGGAGGCGATAGGGGATGAGGAGGCGGTATGGGATGAGGAGGCAATAGGGGATGTGGAGGCGATACAGGATGTGGAGGCGATATGGGATACGGAAGCGATTTAGGATACAGAGGCAATTTGGGATGTGGAGGTGATATGGGATGAGGAGACGATATGCGATGCGGAGGCGATATGGGATGCGGAGGCAATATGGGATGCAGAGGCGATTTAGGATACAGAGGCAATTTGGGATGAGCAGGCGATATGGGATATGGAAGCAATTTGGGATACAGAGGCGATATGGGATGTGGAGGCGATATGGGATGCTGATGCAATATAAGATACAGAGGTGATATGGGATGAGGAGGTGATACAGGATGCGGAGGCGATGCGGGATGAGGAGGCGATACGGGATGCGGAAGTGATATGGGATACAGAGGCAATTTGGGATGAGGAGGTGATATGGGATGAGGAGACAATATGGGGTGCGGAGGCGATATGGGATGACGAGGCGATATGGGATACAGATGCGATATGGGATGTGGAGGCGATATGGGATGCTGATGCAATATAAGATACAGAGGTAATATGGGATGAGGAGGCGATACGGGATGCAGAAGCGATATGGGATGAGGTGGTGATACGGAATGCAGAGGCAATATGGGATGAGGAGGAGATATGGGATGCAGAGGCAATATGGGATATGGAGGTGATATGGGATGCAGAAGTGATTTGGGATACGGAGGTGATATGGGATGAGGTGGTGATACAGGATGCGGAGGCGATACGGGATGTGGATGTGATACGGGATGAGGAGGCGATATGGGATGA